CTCGTCCTCCAGCCAGTGCCATTTTTCCTTATGTAGATGAACACCCATCTAAAGACACTGGAGTGGGAGGCACCTAGGACCCCAGCGTTTCAAAACAGGCCTGGAGACCCTCTGGCTTCCCCCCCTTCTTTACTGGTGAGTTATTGAATATCATCAAGTGATGACTGGAGTATCATGGGCTACAGAGTAAGCTGTGGACTCTGGCCTGTTGACGTTTCCTCAGCTGACTTGGGTGAGATGCTGAATCGAAGCAGGCCGAGAGGGAGCTATGTGCCCTCTGATCTTTTTAGTTGTTTAAACTGTAGAGTGAGAATTTTTCTTAGGCCTTGGGTTCCTTCTTTTCTCTTCCTTTCTTTTTGGGGCTTTGAGACAAAGTCTCACTCTGTAGTTCAGGTTAGCCTGGAAGTTGCTGGAGAGTCCAGGCTGTGTCCTCAAACCTGCAACAATCCTGCTATCTCAATCTAGGTGCTAGGATAACAGCCTGCACCAGGATGCACGTTGCTAGTTTCTTTATTCTCTTTTGAAATGAGGTTTCGATGTGCTGCTCAGGCCTGCCTTGATTGCCTGTACTCAAGCTGTCCTCCTCCTCAGTCTCTTGAGTCCTGATATTGTAGGTTTCTGCCACTATAGGTCACTTCATCTGAGAGCTGTATACTTTTAATTCCTACATTTATATTGTTAGAATATTTTGAGTCAGTCTTTGTACATGATACAAGTGTTGTGAATGAAGTAAGGGCTTCTTGTTTGTTATTTTTAATTTTTTTCTTTCATTGAGATAGAATTTGAGTATGTAGCTCAGGCTTGCCTCAGACTACTAATCCTTTTGTATCAGGCTCTTGATTAGTGGGATCACAGACGTGTGCTTTCACACTCAGTCCTAACTGGGTTTTAATCTTGTCGATATAATTGACAGGAAAATGGAATCTTGATGGAAAATGAAATGAGGTATCTGGGCAGTCCCATTACTACAGTTCCAAAACTGAGTAAGAATCTAAAGCTAGAAGACCAAGAAGGGCTTTCAGAGGATTCAGTGGAGTTTTCCCTGGAAGACCAAGATACCAAGGTGCAATGTTCTGTTACTTTTCATTTTTCATTCTTTTGTTTTCATTTCATTTGTTGTGTGCATGTGTCTGTATGTTTATGTGTATATATGTGTTTATGGCATATCTGTGGTGTCAGAGGACAACTTGTAAAAGTTTTGTTCTCTCCTGTCATGAGGGTCCAGGCATCAAACTCAGGTCATCAGGCCTCACAAAGCTGAGTCAGCTCAGTGGCCCTTGGTTTTTGGCACAGTCTCAGCCAGGTGGTGGCATACACCTTTGATCCCAGCACTCGGGAGGCAGAGGGGGGCAGATCTCTAAGAGTTTGAGGCCAGCCTGGTCTATAGAGCAAGTTCCAGGGCAGCCTCCAAAGCTGCACAGAGAAACCCTGTCTCTTAAAACCAAAAAAAAAAAAGAAAAAAAGAAAGAAAAGAAAAAGAAAAAAGAAAAAAGCAGGGTGTCATGATATAGTCCAGGTTGTTGACCTTGCTGTTTAGCTAGAGTAGCTTTGAATAACAATCCTCCTGTCTTAGTCCCCGGAACACTAAGATTATAGGTGTGTAAACTTGTGCTACCTTACCAAATTTTCTTTTTCATTTTGTTTGTTTGTTTGTTTGTTTGTTTGAGACAGGGTTTTACTATGAGGCCCAGGCTGTCCTAGAACTCTCTTGTAGCCAAAGCTGGTTTGGAATTCACTGTATAGCTCAGGTTGGCGTAGAACTCCTTGAAATCCTCCTGCCTCAGCCTTCCAAGTGCTCAAATGACAGACCTGAGCTTCTACATTTGTTTCTAAGTAAACAACATTGTATACCTATTATACTAGGGCTGTGAAAACAAAAACAAACAAAACCCCAGTGTTTTAGTCATGATACACACGTATAATTTGAGAGGTTGTGAGTGAAAAGCCAACCTTGATTACATAGTAAGACCTGATCTTAAAACACTCTGGTAGTGAGGTAGAGAAATGGCTCAGCAGTTAAGAGCTCTGGCTGCTCTTCTAGAGGACCAGGGTTTGAGTCCAAAGATTTTTTTTCAATTAAAAAAGAAAGTCTTTAAACTCAAGATACCTGACAGATAGTGTCATGTCATCATGGAGATCATCCTATTACTGGATGAGAAATATAGTCAGTAATTTGCATCACTATCAAAAGCAATGGCTGGAATAACATAGCAGTATCTTACAAGTGTCTTACAAGGTCCTTCCCCCATCAGTACGAGATAATCTGAAGTTGCTTGTGCCTTGTAGGTGTGTGTGTATGTGTTGACATCATAGAAATAGTTTCTGAGGTGTTTAGCACTTCTGAATCAGCTTCATTTGTTTGAAATGAGTGTGGGCAGAGACATGTTTGTATAGGTGTCTGTGTAGCTACAAGATTGTGTCAGATCCACTGGAGCTCCAGTTACTAGTTGTGTTGGGCCAGCATGAGAGTGTTAGGAACCAAACTGTGGTCCTCTGGAAGAACAGCAAGTGCCTTAACCACTGGGCCATTTCTTCAGCCCTACTTTATTATTGTCAATGATAACTGATAAAAGAAGGAACAGCATTCAATAAATATTATGATAATAATGTGTGCCAAGTCATATACTACAGTAGAGGACAATTGTAACTAAGATAGAGAGGATTCCTTTAGGAGGATAGTTCAGTTTGTGGCTGAAGAGATGGCTTGGTGGTTAAGAGCACTGGCTGCTCTTCCAGAGGACACAGGTTTGGTTCCCAGCACCCAAATTAGTGGTTCACAACTACTGTAACTCCAGTTTTAAGGAATTTGATTTGCACTTCTGGCCTCTGTATGAGTAGTAGGCACATACATGGTACACATTCTTACATCCAGACAAAACGCACATAAAATAAAAATAATACATCTTAAAAAAAAAATAGCTCCAGTGGCTAAGTGCTTTCTATGTAAGCATGGGGACCTGAGCTCCAGCTCCAGCTCCAGCACCCACATAAAGAGCCAGATGTGGTAACACTTACATCCCAGTGCTAGGGAGGCCACCAAGGGAGGCTGTCCAATCTTGTCTAATCAGCAGGTCCCAGACTTAACAAGAAGGACGACTACTGAGAAATGATACCCAGGGTTGATCTCTGACCTTCACCCACAAGAGCACTCACATTTACAAAGAGAAGATTCATAATAATTGTACAGGAGATCCTGGGTCCAATCCCTGGCATGGGGGGTATACATATTTCTGTAGTGTCTTATGATACTATTTTATTGTTCTTTTTTTTTTTCCTTCTTCAATTTTTGAGACAGGGTTTCTCTGTGTAGCCTGGCTATCCTGGAACTCTCTCTGTAGACCACGCTGGCCTTGAACTCACTGAGACCTACTTGCCTCTGCCTCCCGAGTGCTGGGATTAAAGGCGTGTGTAGTTTATTGTTCGTTTTTAAGGCAGAGTCTTACTCTATAGCCCTGATTGACTTCAAACTATTGTCCTACTGCCTTAGAATTTTAAATGCTGGAATCGAAAGTGTATGCCAACATGCCAAGCCCATGTAATGTCTTGATAGTGTTTTCAGTGTTGGGAATTGAACCCAGGGCCTAGCAAATGTTAGGCAACTACTGGGCCATTGAACTCTATCCCAATCTATATAATATATTCAAATAGAACAATTTTATACTTAAATTTTAGGAACTACCCTATGGCAGTATATCATTTTATATTCCTACCAGTAATACACAAAAGTCTCCACATCTTTAAAAAAATTATTTAAAACTTTTTCTTAACCCAGGATAGCCAAAACAACCCTATACAATAGAGGAACTTCTGGAGGCATCACCATCCCTAACTTTAAGCTCTATTACAGAGCTATAGTCCTGAAAACAGCTTGGTATTGGCACAAAAATAGACAGGTAGACCAATGGAATAGAGTTGAAAACCCTGATATTAACCCACACACCTACGAACACCTGATTTTTGACAAACAATCCAAATTTATACGATGGATGGAACAAAGAGAACATCTTCAACAAACGGTGCTGGATGCAAACATGTAGAAGACTACAGATAGACCCTAGCCTTTTGCCCTGCACAAAACTTAAGTCAAAATGGATCAAAGACTTCAACATAAACCCAGCCACACTGAACCTACTAGAAAGTAAAGTGGGGAAATACCCTTGAATTAATCAGTACAGGAGACTGCTTCCTGAACAT